GATGTGTGTGTCTCTGTGTGTGTGTGTGTGTGTGTGTGTGTGTGTGTCTGTGTGTGTCTGTGTGTGTCTGTGTGTGTCTGTGTGTGTCTGTGTGTGTGTGTCTGTGTGTAACCTTTCCTGGGGTTGGAGAAATGCCTCAGCAGTTAAGAGCACTGCTCTTCCAGAGGGTAGGAGTTATGACCATGTGAAGGTCAGAGAATGACTTGCTGAAGTCAGTTCTCTTCTTTCACCCTGTGGAGCCCCTGGGATCAAACTGGCATTGTCATGTTTTGCAGCAAGTGCTCTTAGCCATGGAGCCAGCCCTACGTAAATGGATTTGCAGACATACACATATTTAAATATGTATTTCCCAGGAACCCTTTCTTCAAAAATTTCATAGGTATTTTTCAGCTGTTACTAACCACAGGAGAGAGGTGGACATTGTGATTTGTGTTTCTTTGGGTTAACTGTCTACATCTGAAAGGGTCATTATTCTTTGAAGGAACATACAATCCAGAGTCCTGAGAATCTGTCAGTCTTGGTATCTGTTAAACTCACAAACTACTGAAAAACATAAAATGACAGGAAAAAAAAAGTTGATAAAGATGGCCTCTTAAATGTTAGAGATGCTGAACTTAGTGGACAAGGATTTTAAGGCAGCCATATGTCTGTACTCAGAAAATAAAAACGAATCTTTCAAGGAATGTGTCCTATCCAGATAAGAAGGTGAAGTTACAGAGGGCAAAGGTGAAAACAGAGCTCCCGGCAGGGGTGGAGAGAAGTCTGGAGGCTTGAGGCAGCAGCACATAAACATCACAAAAGGGAGAGCAGTGCTGAGGGTGCAGGGATTGCCCAGGTCTTGCATGAGGTCCTAGCAGGTTCACAGAATAGTAAACCAGGAAAGAAAGGGAGACAATATCAAGGACAACCAAGAAAATAAATTCTAAAGAAAAATTTGATCATCTGGCTAAGGCATTGAGAATGTTTATATAGTCAACAAGTAAGTACCAGTTTTATATTCAACAGAAAGACAAAATCTGAAGGAGAGGAAGACGGTGGTTAAATTCAGAGCCTCTGAGATCGCTAATCTTCAGCCTCATAGTAAAGCAGTCTATGATAGTTAAACTGAAAGTAAAGCATTATAAATTTATTCAGTAGATTCAGTTTATTTCTAACAAGAGCAAGAGTTGGAAGTGGTTGCTAGTAGGAACACTTTGAATGTTGTAAGAGGTATGGGAATTCACTCCAGTCATTAGGAAGTCTAGACTGCATTTGACTTTTCTGTCATATACTTTTTAGAAAGAATTTTAACTAGAATTTAACATTTATACCAGACATAGTTTCAGTATATAATAACTAGACTACTAGGAAGATGGGTATAGCTGGTAAATCCACGATGCATAATTATTTGGAGATACTGAAATGTAGAAGCTGGTCAGTAAAAATTCCCAAAGAAAGGCCTGAATTAGGATAAATACTGTGGAGTAGAAAGCACATTCCCAACCCTGGGTACATCCATAAAACACTCTCAGACATTGTTGAAAATGTTAAAGTGAAGAAAAATCCCAAATGTTAATGTTGTTGGCAGTAGTGAGAAGTTGAAATGTTTACTTACAGGATAAAAGATTCAACTAGATATGGCATGTACCAGTTATACCCAAACCCAGAAAATTGAGGCAAGGAGCATCAAGTTCAAAATCAGCTTTTGCCTACATAGTTGGATGCTAGGCAAAACCTATCTTAAAAAAACAAAACAAAACAAAAACATTTGAAATATTATCTATGGTACATTATACCCTCCAATTGGATCAGCTTCCCAATACAGTATTCTGGACTATTTAAAATATAAGCATATTGAGTTGTGATGTTAGGTTAATTGTTTAACTTTCCAATACTTGTAACATGTATAACCACCCCTTTTGTGAACAAAAGTCCTAATCCAAAGAGATAGAAACACCTTGACTGAACTGCTCTTGTGGTAGAATTACATTGTCTTTCTGAAAAATATTTTACTGAGTTCCTGGGTAGCAATTTCACCATGTTAAGAAAAGTCAATTGATTATTAAGCTAGCCATTGGGCTTAAAGTATTGGTCTATGCCACAATCTCTAGCCTATTTTATACAATTAACATTGTTTGTAAAAAATGGAAAATGTAGTCTTATTTCATAGTAAAATAAGAAAAATTTAACTCCCATTTATTTTTGCAAATTATTTATAAGAGTAGAGGATCATGGGCCAGTGAGATTGCTCAGCATGTGAAGGGTGAAGGGCCTATTCCCAAGACTGACACCCTGAGTTTAGTCTCTGGAACACATGTGGAGGAAGGAGAGAACCAGCTTCTGCATGTTTTCCTCTAACTTCTGCATGTGTGCCCCCCCACACACACATCCTGCATAAATAAATGTAAAACATTGTGTTTTATTTATGGTAATACCCATTTATTCATATATGCATGTACACATTGCTGGCCAGGAGCTGTATATCAGGGAGAGCATTCTGCTTTTATCTTCCAAGTTTGGATCACCTGGCTTGTATACTAGAAAAGAGACCAAGAGAAGGTAAAGAGAAAAATTGGTATGAGGAAGGATAAGGGTGGGCACCAGGACATATGGAACATAAAAAGGAAAAGGGACTTAAGTGTGGAAAAGTTATAATAGGAACTTAGGGGTAGCAGAGAGATGGGGGAAGAGAAACATTGAAGCACATTGAAAAATGCATAATATATCTAATCCCTTGTATACAGATTTTAAGAATTAAAAATACATATAAAAATTGAAAGTGCACAAACAGCTGGATGCCAGGGTATGAATGTAGTGGCCATGAGCTGTGCACCCATGCATCTGGAGTGTCCAGATGCCAACTTGTGCTTCATACTGTTACGGAGATTGGCTTTTACTCATCTTGGTAGACATAGAAATTTTAGGAGAGTAAGCCAATGGGTAATACATGTATTCATATGGGTTACTTTAGCTAGCTATTAAATCCCTCTCCTTCCTTACAAGAGAGGTAATTCTGGAGCCCAGAACACACCAGCCCCGGGCAAGTCCAGAGGCAGTGGTAATGCTCATATTGTGGGTGGTAGAAAGTGATGCTTTAGATGAGGGAAGTTAGAAAAGCCCATGGTGAGCTGGGTATGGTAGTGACCTATTTAATTCCAGCACTCAGGAGGCAGAAGCAAAGGGACTTCTGAGTTCAGGGTCAGCCTAGACTACAGAGTAGACCAGCCAGAGGCTACACAATGAAACCCTGTCTTTAAAAGGATATATATATATATATATATATATATATATATATATATATATATGCATTTGCAATCTTGACATTTTAGAGAATAGAGAATATTGTGTATGGATATGGATAAGCCATTGATTTACTGGGGAACCTATTAGAGACACATATTTCACCTGTTCCTTTGTTGGCAGAAATAACATTCCTGATGTCTATAGAGTTTCTCTTGTAAATACCACTTCTTCATCTAAGAAAATAAAAATGTGTTTATATACTGTCTCTGGTTCTCTCTGTATATGTCCAGAGAAATGGTTATGTATCTCCTATTCTCCACCCTGACTGAATGCATCTAAGACTGTAATGGAAATATTTTATTTGAAAAAATGATGTATAAACATTTATCTGACATCCTAACAGTTTTCAGGGGAAAGTGTGTTCATGGTGAAAACTGTTAAGTTTCTTTTGGGGGAGATATATCATTTTTCAACCCCTCCTAAGGTTTCTTCTTAAATGGCTCACAGTTAAATTTAAATTTCTATATTTAGATAGGATTCTGTTTATATACCAACTACCAGTATCCAGGAAATCCAGTGGGAAAGCTTGTACAGGAGGAGTTGAGAGTCAATTTCTATAGTCTGCTCATTCAGAGATGGTCTAGAGCTTATTTAGTTAGCAGAATGGTTTAAACATTCAAACAGAGGTCCTGAATTCAGCACAGATGCAAGGATGGCAGTGTGACACCTTAAAGAGTGCTTCTCAGGAGTGTGTGTCGCTGTTTTACTCCATTCAAAGAAAGGCATATGGTGGGGGTGGGAGAGCAGCTTTCATATGTAAATATGTTTATAATACTTAAGACGGGGGAGTTGGCTTTGTGCAATCAGCACAGTTTGATCAAATTTGGAAGAATTTACAGGCACATTTTTCTCACATGTGCTCCAGCATCTTGATTTTTTTCAGATGGACCTATTTTATGTTCCTTCCAACTAATCAAAATAAGAAACTGAGTTTGTCTTTGCCAAAAACTAGAACTATCATTTTTCACATTCTTTTATTTTCTAGGTCATTTTCAAGTAAGATTATGTTTCTAGGGCTTCTGAATTCCTGAAAAATCTCGGCTTTGCAGCTCCGAAGGCTCAGATGGACATTTCAGGGAATCTAGCCTTTCAGGCGGTGTGTTTTGCCTTGTGAATCCCAGATACAGTTCACTTTTGTGTGCATGTAATTAGTGTGGAAAGAAATTAATGCCGTCCAGTATTATGATTTATGGACTGAATCCTTTAGCCACTGAAGACTTGCCAAAGCCAAAGTATTTTTTTTCCTTTGGATATTAGAAACAGCTTCTGTTTTTGTTGATCTTTAAAGTCCTGAATGGGGCTATTTCACATCATACCAGCATGGGAGCTCAGATTAATAATATACTTATTCAACTAGTGATACTGAGCGAAACCATTGCACACATGGGTAGGAAGGATAAAATTTCATAAAATTATTTTCAGGTGTATTAATGTATTTCTGGAAGCTGCATATGATTTTTCTTTTGCATGAAAGAGATCAAGGATTTTTGTTTATTGTATCTATTACAGGTGGGCTGGTAAGCTAATTTAATTGCAATTTTTTTTTTTTTTTTGGAAATCTTAAAGTACAGGGAGTTTTGCTTCAAAAAGCAATAACGTGATTGCTAGATTATTCCCCTAAGGTCTTTATTGTAGTAGATTTATCTCTCGAGACATTGTGATTGTACTGTGTGTAATTTATATTTCTGAGACAATTTCCTGCATTTCCTTTGTTGTAGTTACAGCAAGCTGCAGAAGTCTCTCAGCTGCGGGGAGCAAGGGTGATCTCTGCTGAAGATCTTCTGTTCTTGATGAGAAAAGATAAGGTACTATAAAGCAATTATTGTCAAATACAAGGCCTGATGCTTAATTGAACTTGCATAAGGAAATGATGGACCCTTGTTACAGCTTTCAAATGAGAATCATAACCACAGAAGCTGTTTAGCACAACAAAATTCATTTACTACAGAATTGTTTGCTTTTTGCATGAGCAGATCTCTGATGCCAAAACTGCACTACAGTTCATCTTTACTCCTCCTTATACTTGTTTAGACATTTTCACTGCTGTCTTACATCCCTAGGTACCAACCAAGCTCTGTTCTTATACATGGGGTCTCTCTGAGTAACACATTTCTGTTTCTTCTCAGTTTGTTCCTTACTACTAATAGAATTCAGACTTTCACAGAATTGGTTTTAACTTGAAATGCTAAGTTATTCTCTGCACTGACTTATGAAAAGAAGCAAATTAATGCTAGAAGCTTAAAAACTACTATCATTTCAATTTTTAATAAAATTCTTAACTCTGGATACTAAAGTATTAGTATCCAGATATTTGTAAGTCTATTTTTGTCATAATTTTCTGTAAGCAGCTAGTTGAATAAATTATATACTACTTTACCTGTCTTAATCAACCAGCTGTTTATTAATATGAAGAATATGTAAAGAAAAGAAATGCATTCAATATCAAACAACTTGCAGCAATCTATGTGATATGCTTGAAGCATTTAAGACTTGGAGAATTTCCTGGGTTGGATGATTAGAAGGGGAAAGAGGGTTGGTGCAGTGAAGGATTATGACAAAGGTCAGGCTCCTCGGGCCTTCTAGATCATAGACCCAAGGCCAGGAACCTGACAGGACACATAGTTGCTATGGTGGCTCCGGGCATGGCTGAGAAAAGCACTTTATGGAGAATTGCCAGTTTGTTTTGGACTTGCAGGGTCCTTAAAGAGAAGCAGTCATCAGTACCCGCTGTGGTGCTGTGTCCAGAAAGTCCTGAAGGCTGCTAGCAACAATAAGGCCCTTAGCAAAGGTTCCTGTGGGAGCAGCCGGGAAACAACAAGGCTGCTTAGCTCTGCCCAGCATGTCTTGTCCCTGGTGTTTCCTTTCCACTCACAGATGTAAAGAGAGAATCACACACAGTCCACACTGGAACTCCTTCCCCTTGTTAGGAAGGTGACCATTTTATGCTATAGAAACTTCAGAAATATGTGTCACTTGATGGTGCTGTGCTGGGATCTAGGACTCTTACCAGAATATTTTGAAAAACCAGCAACATATTTATAGCAGAATAGTTGTTCATTTTCTCATCTTTCTCAAGTAATTTTATTTATATTCTGAAGTGTTCCAAAAAGAATGTAAGGTAACTTATATAGGGAAAATACTAAATAGAATAAAACTAAAATAATGGGTGCAATGAAAGCAAAGAGAAATGGGAAACAATGAAAAACAAGAGCCCTTCAGGGTGCAATGTGACTGTTGTTTAGTAGTTGGAGTTTGTAGACAAGCATTTTCTACCACCTGATGCACTTTACATACCATGGGATGCAGTCTCTCATGACTCCTGTGCAGCAGGATATGAGGTAGGCACTTTCTTTAACTTGCACATGACAGAATTAGACTCAGAGGTTCGGGCTCTACTGAGCTTCAGTCATCAGTCTGTAGTTTACCTCAGGGTCCCTCAATTAAAAGAGATGGTAAGATTTGTTCCTACTCAGGGAGATTGAAAATGTTGAGTGATGTTCAAAGGACTGTGTTTCCACCCTTAAGAAATCTAAAGCCTGGAGACTGTGAAACAGAGCCAGTGCTGTCTAAGGTTAGCACAGAATGCAAGGCATTATTAATTGAAGATTGTGAACCAGAGGTAATACATTTTAGGGTTAGCACAATAAATGCTGCAAGGCATCATAAGTTGCTTACACGTAAGTGCTATTATCCTCTTCTAAACTATCTGTCTTTAAGACCTACCAATCATTCATGGGCTTTGAGGTTCCTGAAGACAGATTTCTCAGCTTATAGATACTTTCCATAGCTATCCTACGAAAGGATTCTCAGGCCAGGTGTGGTGGCACATTCCTGTTAGTTTAGCACTAGGTAGGCTGAAGCAAGATCACAAGTTCAAGTTCAGCCTGGGCTACACATCAAGGTCTTATCTCAAAACTTAAATATAAAGATGGGTTATTAAAAACTCCTAGTCTAGATGTTTATAAATCCATCTTACATAATTTTTGTCTCAGAGTGTATACAAAATTTCAAAGCGTAAGTATACTTGGCTTACCAAAGGCAATATGGTATTTATTGAAATCATCAAAGGAATTTAAGATGTTTTCTAAAATATACAAAAAGTATTATTGTGATTCTGGAATGTCTGGATAGATGGGTGTGAAAACGCCTTTATAAACACTTACATTTTAGCTAGTATTGAAGGGCTACATTTTGTGCTTATTAAGCTAATGATAGTTATATTTTCCAAATGATCAACAGGTACTAGTTTATTAAATTTAATTCTTAAAGCAATCTTTTATCATTAAAGCAATGTATTACAAGCTTCTTACTTTATATTGCAATAGAAAAAGCTTAGAAGACTTCTAAAATACATGTTTATCCGAGACTACAAGTCAAAGATCATCAAAGGCATTGATGAGGATGACCTACTGGAAGGTGAGTAGACAGAACCTAACCCGGAGGATCAGCTGGGGCACCTGGATGTGGCAAGGAGTTCTTCCTTAACACTCTAGCAGTTGTTGGAAATTTAACCTCATGATTTTCTCTTCTGAACCTCAAAGGGCTCAAGTACCTCAGTTTCTTCATTTCATGGTGGATACTGCTTTCCAACAGGTCTAGTACAGCACAGAGAGAGGCAGACTCAGAACTAAGAACTGTGCCAGCCCCCTGAAGGAAGTTATTTGGAGCAGAGCATGTGGAAGTTCATAGCTAGGACCTCTAAGTGGCAATCCTGGCAACAAAGTAAAGGCTAGGAGATCCACTGAACAACACCAAGCAAAAGAGCACTTGCTGCTGTTTCAGAGGACCTGAGTTTGGTTCCCAGAATCCATGTCAGGCAACTCACCACCACCTGTAACTCCAGTCCAGGGAATCAAGGGCCCAGGCCTCTGAGGTCACCTGCACTCACATGCACATTACACATACAAACCTACACATCATTTAATATAATAAGAACAAATATTTAAAAAAAAACAAAGCATTAGCACCCAGCTTGTGGTTACTAGGAATTAGCTGCTGTGTCATGGGGAGCTTGAAAAGTGATAGTCAAAGGCACTGTAAAGTTGATGATGGGAGAGAATGCACACAGAAGTCTGCACCATGGAGGGGTGAGAGACATCAGAGGCAGCACACTATAAAGAAATCTGTTACCAGTCTAGCCAACGCACAAAAAAAAAAAAAAAAAAAAAAGCAATGAAGGACAAGCCCACCAAAAGGAAGAAATGGTTGCCTGAGTTACTGTGATGTAGAAAGTGGTCATTTTAGATTATATAATAACAAAACACGAGATGTGTAAAGAAACAGAATGATATGATGTATATTAAAACAAAAAGAACAAAACAGTAGATAACAAAACATGCCTTCTAGGGATCCAGATATTGAATTTAGCAGGCAAAGAAATCCAAAGGAACTATTATATTGTGTCAAATATATAAAGGAAATTGTATTCAGAGAAGAACATCCATGAAAGCCATGATTCACAAAATATACCTTATCAATAAAGAGATAAAATTATAAATATGTAATAATAGAGTTTAAATGTAAATACACTAAGTGAGATAGCTCACTTACCACCAAGCCTGATAAACCAAGCTCAACCACATGATGGAAGGAGAGAACAGGTTCCTGGCAGTTATTACTCTGAAAAAAAATGCCATGTCATGTATACATACACCCACATACAAAATTAATTACTAAAGAAAAATAAGGAAGATGGAAGCTAGAACAATAGAAGCTTTGAACTGGCAGAAGGAAGAACCAATGAGTTTACATTAAAGATTATATAATCTAAAGAACCATGAAAACTAAGAAGGTTGACAGAGTTTGAGACATACAGGAGACCATCAAGTGCATCAACATAATATATCAGAAGAGGAGTGTACAGTACACGAATACACCAGCATGTACTGTATCAGAAGACATGGAGTAAACCATACAGGAATACACCAGCATGTACTGTATCAGAAGACATGGAGTGTACAGTACACGAGTACACCAGCATGTGCTATGTCAGAAGACATGGAGTGTACAGTACACAAGTACACCAGCATGTGCTATGTTAGAAAATGGATATACAGCAAATTAATACATCACTCTAATGTATCTGAAGGGAAGGAGGGGGAGAGAGGAAGAAAGAGGGGGATCAGAAAACAATATTTCTAGAAATAGTGAATGAAAACTTGTCAGTCTTAAAAAAAAATCATTAAACACATGTGCAAGTATCTAAATAAACAAGCTCCATTAGGATAAACTAAATCATCTCTACTGATACAGTTTAGTAAGTTCAGAGCTAATCATAAAAGACATAAGAGAGGGTGTCTGGAGGGCTTTGGAAAGTTGTTAGACCATAAAAAGAGAGCCCTTATGGATGGGGTCAGTGTACTTCTATAAAGAAATACCCAGAACTCCCATCCTATCTGTTAAAAAGGGGCCCTCACCAGATACCAGGTCTGCCAGGACTTAGGATGCCACAGCCTGTAAAAATCAGGTAAGTGAACAATTGTTTAAACTTCCCAGTCTGCAGTATATTTTAGAGCAAATTCTACTGACCAAGAAAACCCAGAAGGAAACAGGGTACTTAACATAAAAGGCTAGATTCTTTCCTCCCTAGCATCAAGAATAAGACAAGAATATGTAATGTGAGACTTTTGCCTAGGTCCTGTTGCCACTTCAGCCCCCAAATAATACACAGAGACTCTGTTAGTTACAATGCTGTTGACCTTTGGCTGTGGCTTCTTATTGGCTAGCTCTGTCTTAAATGTTAACTCGTTTTCTAATAATCTAAGTTTTTCTACATGCTCTTATCTTACCGGAGAAAATGTCCAGGCCGCTTACTCCATTGGGGTCAGCATCTCCACAGAGAAGAGAGAGGAGAGCGATTTCCTGTTTGTCCCTGCTTATATTCTGAGTCTGTCCAGCTACATCACTTCCTGCCTGGCCAAACAGCCAATCAGTGTTTTATTCATTAACCAATAAGAGAAGCATATACACAAAAGGACTTCCCCCATCAAGAATATGCACTTGTTTCTCTTCTATGCAGTATTGTACAAAGGTTTTAGTGTGATATTTAGGCAGAAAAAGAAATGAAAGCACCCAGATTAAACATGTTAATCTATGTATGTATCTGGCATGCTCTTTATATATTAACATATCTTAACCTACTAAAAACTGTTGCAATTGGTGGGCACATTCATGACTTTTCAGGATACAAGATGAATATGAAACAAGTGGGTACACATTCCTTATACTCAGCAACAATTCAGGGTCATATGAAGAAAGCAATACCATGTATAAAAGCATCACAAAGAATAAACTATTTTAGAATAAATTTCACCATTGACCTGCAAGATTTCTACATAGATACTGGAAATCACTGTTGAGAGAGAAAGAAGACCAAGAAGAAATACAAAGGTAGCCAGTGTTGACGGCTGGAACTCTGGATTATTAAGGAAATAGCCATCCTTAGCTGGAGCTATAGATTGCGCATCACGCCATCTTTTGATAAATGAACAGACTGATTCTGTCATTCATGTGGAAATGACAGATTCTAGAGAGGTAAGGATCCATTTTCCAATTTTTACATGACCCAGAATCTTGAAAACCATCTCATCAAGTAGCCAAGTTGGAGAACTCAAGCTTGCTGACTTCACAACTGTGCTGTAAATCTGCCACAGTCAACCGGATACATGCTGGGCAATGGATGATCAGAATTGAAAACACACATGAGACTTGCAGAAAGGCTTAGTGATGCTTGACAGCTTGCAGAACAGTGCCATGTGGAATGAATAGCTCCTTCAACTAGAGACATTGAGGCATCTGTGACATCTAGATCTACATAGAAAAGAAATAATTTGATCCCTTCATGAAGCAGTGTGCTCCCCAAAACAAACAAACGAATGAAAAGCCTAAGTACAGATCATTGAGAGCTCACAATAGCAGCTCAAAATACAAAATTCTTTTTTTTCATTTTTATTATATCTTTATTTACTTGTTTTGTATAAGCATATACGGGGTGTGTGATCCATGGTGAAGTGAGCAGAAGTCAGAATTCAATTTGCAGGAATCATTTCTCTTCCTCCACAATAAGGGTTCTGGGGTTGAACTTAGGTCATCAGGTTTGATGGCAGGCATTTTTACCTATGGAACATCTCTGGCCAGTCAAAATAGAAAGTTTTCAAAAGAAAAACAGGAATAACTGTTGGTTATTTTGAATACATGACACCAAAAGCATAGCACCAAAAGAAACCACTATTGAATTAGAATTGATCAAGTTTAAAGCTTTTAAAGTTCTTCAGAGAATATGCAAAAGAAAAAACAGAATGAGAAAGTCATATATATAAATTCATTTATATTCTAAGGAATTCATAGGCAAAATGTATAAAAAACTCTTCAATTCCATAATAGAGACAATAAATCAATTTGAAAATGGGTGAAAGACCTGAGGTAACCTTGTAGCAGAAGTAGGGGAAGTAAAGCAATAGCTAATAGATGCCAGAAAAGATGGCCATTGTCCTGAGCCATAGTGCAAATGCAAACCAGCAATAAAAGGCTGCTCCTCATCCACCAGGATGTCTGTGACTGAACAGACAGATGAAGGCAAATGCTGTTTAGGCTATGGAGAGCTTTAGCTTATGATACTAGGAGGAGGGTAAAATGGTGCAGGCAGTTCAGAAAACATCCCGGAAGCTTCTGAAAAAGATTAACAAAGTAAACCAGCTATTCAACACCTAGTAATGCTAAATGAAAAGAAATGTCTACATTTAAAAAAATTCACATGATCATGAGAAGCAGCATCTTTTACAATAGAAAACTAGAATCAGCCCAATATCTGCCAACATATAAAGACATAAGTGCAGGATATTAATGTAGGAAATATTTAGAGCAATAAAGTGGAATTTAACACTGGCATGCTCATACGTGGATGAAGTAGAAGCCCATCACAAAGACAACATATCCCAGGTTGTCAAATAGCAACAGAGGGAAAACAGCCTAGAGTGGTTGCCTGGAGCTGGAAACAGGGTAGCACTAGGGAGTCATCTAAAACAGTCCATCAAAGGACATTGTCTTCTGCAAAGGTCCCTATGCTCCTAGACTGAACAATCAAGATACAATCCAAAGGAAAATCATGCCCATGCGAATGTACACCCACACAAATATCATAATGATTTAAATAACTATATGATTTTGTATGGACGTCACTTCTACAGTCCTTCAGCATTGATTTCATTAGCTTCTGGCTTCACTTGATATATTTTATTTAAAGAGTTAGCTGCTATATGAAGATCTATGTCCAGATTCTACCCTGAAAAAGGTAATATATGGGTTTATTAACAATACCTTGGTTAGAGCTGCATAATTTAGGCAAAGGTTGGCTTAATTTTTCTTCTATCTTCATTGGAGGGTAAAAAGATACTTTAATAGGCACATAATTAAAATTT